GTGAATTTTTTGAAGTACCATTCTATGTGACTAAGAAACAAAAAATCTTAGCCTCACCCATACACATGTGATAGAAGTTTATTCCCACTTCCCCCTTTTCCCCTCCCTCAGCCAATTTGCAATAAAAATGGTAAAATGGTGATGTCACGGAATGAGTTACTTTGTCTGAAAGGCTAAACCACGGGTTTATGGGAAGACTGAGACGTGACACACTATTGTGAGGCACAAAGGATGCTTCTTAGGGACTTGTGATCATTACTGGGCCAGGCAGGGGAGCTGGGCTCCTGAACTCTGTCTCTTTCTGCTGTGTTCTGGAAGCAGGAGCTGGGCTCCCTAATTGCCTTGTATGCTGGTTTTATTTGGTGGCTCAGCTGGGTGGAGTGAACTCTGTGAAGAGATGCATTCATTTTTAGTTACCTCACCAGATTGCTAATTTTCACTGTGGAGGCATAAATCACCATAATCACTATAATCCTAAAATGGAGAGGCCGCTGTTCTGGCACAGGGGTGGTGGCTATTGCCACCACCAAAGCTGTTCTATCTGAGGGTCGGCCTGGAGAGCTGGGGAAGGAGCCACACGTGGCTGGCTCTGCAGGACGCTCTCAGATTTGGGACAGAGGGCGTGCTGGGAGCTCCTCTGCCTGGGAGGAGAAACGGAGCTCCTGGAGGAGCTGCTTCTGTGTTGTGGCAAGAGCCCTGGGCTCACAGCTGTCAACAGAACATCAACAGAACTTCAGTCTTCTTTTCTCTCCCCTCTTCCCATCAACTCATTTCTTGGTTTGGCTTAGTTTTTGTATCTCTTTTGAGGAAAGCCTTAAAAGTTTCTAAAGGATTACCTCAAGCAGAAGCCAGAGGCTACAAAAATACCCAGACCCCAGAAGTGGAAGCTAAATATCATCAGAGAGAGAGAGAGAGAGAGAGAAAGCCCAATGTAATTTGTCACTTTGTTAAAATACCCAGACCCCAGAAGTGGAAGCTAAATATCATCAGAGAGAGAGAGAGAGAGAGAGAGAGAGAGAGAGAGAGAGAAAGCCCAATGTAATTTGTCACTTTGTCACCTATACTTGTAAACTTGATTAAAATTTTTTCCTTTTTAAAGAAAACCAACCTGGGCTAGCCGGTTAGCTGAAGTGGTTAGAGCACAGCCTCATAACACCAAGGTCATGGATTCGGATCCCCGTACTGGCCAGCTGCAAAAAAAAAAAAAAATTAAAAAATAAAGAAAACCAACCTAAGCTCAGACTAAGAAATACCACTGAGATCCTAAATCAGGGGAACTTAAAAGATGACTAACTCATATATAAATATGTGAAAGTTCCTTGCCATCTCACAGAAGGTGAGGAGGTAGAGATCAGGGAATAGCATTCTCTTGACAATTTCACATCATAAAGTTGTCTGGGTGTGTGGCTTTGTTTATATTTTTGTTTTGTTTTTGCCTGAAAAAAAATTTTTTTTTTTTAACGATGACCGATAACGGGATCTTAACCCTTGACTTGGTGTTGTTAGCACCACGCTCACCCAGTGAGCTAACCGGCCATCCCTATATGGGATCCGAACCCGGGGCCTTGGTGTTGTCAGCACCGCACTCTCCCGAGTGAGCCACGGGGCCAGCCCATTTGCCTGAAATTTTAAAAACAGCCTTAAAATGAGAGAAAGAGGAAACTTGTTGGTAACAAAAAAGAAAAAGTCTCCTGAGGAGAAATGTTTATTGCCTAATACTTATAAGCCTTTAGAGCCCAAAGCATCCATTATTACTGAGGCAGGTTGATAGACTAAAAAGAGAGGGAATTTTAGGTCAGGGACGTTGTGTGCAAAATTGAGGCTGTTCTCAGGCATTAGACGATAAGACAGACAAATAATGGCTTGCAACAGGATAAACTGCCCTGTGAGATGGCCCTGGCCTAGCTGTGTCCCTTCCCCACCTGTCCCTCTTCTCAGCCTCCCTCAGATGACAGGGAACAGATCTGCTTTGTTTTTTGTCTTCCCATCACCTGCCCTCATGTTTAGGCAACAGAGAGACCTGAGTCATAAACACAGCTCTGCTACAAGCTCCCTTGGCTAAGTGTGGCATTTAGAGTATTCTAGTACTTCCTTGATGTTTTTCACTGTTTTTCAGAACCCTTATGATCCTTTCCAGAACCTTCCACAGTGCCTGGGCACAAAATAGATGTACAATACAAATTTGATACATTGATTCAAATTTGGAGAAGAATTTGGAGGAAAAGTCAAAGAGTAAAAAATGAGGGGTGTTTCACTTTCTCCAGAGTCCTGTCCGTAGCAGCAAGGGCCTCAGATGAAAGAACTCAGGCTTCTCACCGTATCTTTAGGTCTTCAGGATGATTCCCAGGCTCTCCAGTTGGCACAGGGCCCCAGTGGAGCAGTGAAGAAGGGGCCATTTTTTTCTGAAGTCTCCCTGCATTAATGACAGTAACAGCAGTCACATGCTTAGAAAGAAGAAAATCCTTCTGATTTGGCCTTCCAGAGCAGAGGTGTTTCCCCTAAGGTCCCAGTTTTACTCCAGCAGAAAAAGCAGGCGGGGGCTGATATGGTTGCAGCAACACTATTTTGCTTTGGTGACAGGAAGCCTTGTGATTTTTTTCACCAACTTCCCCAAGGATGCCACCTTTCAGCTACACGTACTTAGATTATTTCTACCCTCCCTGACCCAATCTAGGGTTGCTAAGAGCTTCAGTACTTTCTTCTCTGCTTCCTACCTCCTCCCAACCCCCAAGTTCATACCCAAATGCCAGCAGATGGGACCAGCCTCTGGGACAGAGGGGAAATATTGTGGAAATCGGGGGTAGACTTGAACACATATATTGGTCTAGAAACAGGCATAAAAGCAAGACCCTTGTTACTACTAGGATGGTGGTGGGAAATAATTCCCTATCCATCACGGGTGGTGGTGAGGGTAGCGACTATTAGTTTTAATATTTTTTTGTGGAGGTAAATTATTTATTGGTAGTAAATTAACTATTAATGGCTATGTTAAGGGGCCACATGGAGGCTGTCCAAAGAAAGCCATACAATAATAATGAGCAATTATTATATCTGGTATTACATTAAAAATATGTATTATATCCAAAGGACAGAATATGCTCACTTTTGAACTGAATTTGGTTCAGTGTCTCTTATGGGGAGGTATAAGGACTCCATGTGCAACTCTGTTTGGGCTGTTATCTGTACCTATGTATTTATTTGGGGGGTTTTTTTGGCTTCAGAAAAAATCCTTGATGTTACAGCAAATATGTGTATTGCATAAAAACTGTCACTGCTGAAAATGTGCAGTTAATGGCATATGTAAATAAAATTTAATAAGTTTTGCTGCTGATATTTATTATTGAGACGTATGTTCAACATTTCCTGAACAAGGGCCGGCCCGTGGCTCACTCAGGAGAGTGCGGTGCTGATAACACTAAGGCCACGGGTTCGGATCCCATATAGGGATGACCGGTTCACTCACCGGCTGAGCGTGGTGCTGACAACACCAAGCCGAGGGTTAAGATCCCCTTACCAGTCATCTTTTAAAAAAAAAAAAAAAAAATTTCCTGAACAATTCTAAAAGCTCTTGCAGTATTTACTGCTACTAATACTGCATGTTATGATTCTACAGCCCCTTTTCTGACAGAGCTTTTAAAATGAAACACACTCCGTATCTTTTCCCCCCTTCAGTTAACTATTGGAAGAAAGCAGAATAGAAACGTGAACGTTTAAAGGCAAGAAGCACAGAGAAAGGAAGGCGAGTGGAACAACCCCCTGGCATCCTGACACCAAGCTGGCAGGTTGAATGAAGCGCAGGGTTTTCCATTCCATTCATGGGAAAAAGGAGAAAGAAAAAGGAGAGAAAAAGGAGGAGCTCAGGGATTCCTTAGGAAGCTGGAAACACGGAGCGTTTCGAGGCAGTGAGAGACACTGCTGGGGTTTTCTCGCCGTCTTCAGTCTATGGTGAGACGTCTGAGCAGCAGAGTCCAAGGTGCACCCGTGTCGTGCAGCCAAAGGGAAGAGCAGCGGAAGCCTCTGGTTTCCTCCCCTTTGATCGATTGGAGGACCCCTTATTGGGGTGCCTTCGGTTTCCTTATTTGTCACATGGAACCTGTGGCGGGGAAAAATGCCCATCCTACCTTAGGGTTACCAGAGCGAGAAAGGGACCTGAAGTCGAAGTTGGGAGACCTGAGCTTGTGACCTTGGTTCACAGCACAGCTGATATTTGGGGGAACAAGTTCTGAGAGGACTGAGGGGACGGGCATCAGGAAAACTGGGGGTTGGAAAGCAAGTTGTCACAAGAGAGGAAGGAGGTGGTTCTGTGGGGTCCTAGACTGAGGGGATCTGTGCTTGACAGACCAGCTTTACTGTGACCATTGTCTCGGCCTGGGATATAGCAGTAACTGCCACTTGCAGTGTGCCCACTGCATGTCAGGCTCCTTGCATAGTTAGCTCATTTAGTCCTCACCCAAAGCCAGATACAGCAACATTACCCCAGTTTACAGATGTGAAAACTGAGGCTACAGAGATTAACTTGCCCAAGGTCACTCAGCTGAATCATGGAAGTGACAGTTTCTTCATATGTACAATAATTGTTTATGACTACCAGAATCCATCGCCTGCTGGTTTGTTGACTCGCTTGATATTGGACATCAGGAACCTTGAAGAGGCGAGGCCCGGGAATATGCGGATCATGGTTGAGTTTGGCTTTTTACAGACTTGCATTCAGGTCCCTTTCTTCAAAGCTTCTGCAGCGCAGGCGCACCACGATCGCCCCTTGCGCGGACCACGGTCGCCCTCTGCTGACGGAAGGCTGGAGCGCGTCTAGGGTGAACGGGCCCCAGGGCGGGCGAAGATTTTTCTCGCCTACAGAGGGCGCCAGTCAGCGTGCAGCGTATCCCACTCTTGCCGTCCCTTCCTCAAGCACTTCCTGTTTGGTCTCTATGATCCATCCAGTTGCGACATAAGAAGTTCCTAGTTTTCAATTTACCGTAAACAAAAGGGACGTGCTCCGACCCGGAAGTGAAATCTGGAGTCGGGCCGGAGCTCCGAGCGCCTGCATTGAGGAGTAGTAGGTTAAGGGGAAGCTGTAGCCATGGCTGTGGCCGTGGCTATGGCGGGGATCGTAACTGGGTCGGAGCCAGGCCCCGCGGAAGAACTCGCCAAACTCGAGTATCTGTCTTTGGTGTCGAAAGTTTGCACCGAGCTGGACAATCATTTGGGGATCAACGACAAGGACCTAGGTGAGCCCGGGAGGGTCCCTGCGGCATCTGGGCTTGGGGCCGAGGGAGGCGGAAGGAGAAGGGTGGTTGATGGGCCGAGTGTGTGTCCGTGTGAGTCAGTCTCTCTCTCTTTCTCTCTGTGTCACAGAGACCTGGGCCCAGGGAACCTGCGGCCACGGCCTCTGCTTAAGAGTCCTCCAGGCCGAGCTGTTAGAAACCATATCCCAGAGCTGTCAGTGAAGCCCGGGGCGGCCATCTATGCTTGATTCTCTTCCCCCCCAGCCCCAAATAATTAAATAACTTTAACAACAATAGCAGCAACCACGATGAGGATGAGGATGAGGATGATAATGACTGACACTTATTGGGTGCTCACTGTGTGTCAGAAATTATGCTCACCTGTTCATTCACATTATCTTATTTGGCCTTCACGCCAGAGAGTCATCAGCGTCTTTGCTTTTAACTATGTTCTTCACCGTTCATGCTATCGTGTCTCTCAAATACCACGTTTTGGGACAAACTGCGTCTGGGAAACCCAAACTGAGGAATTAAAAAAGGCCAGGGTCCTAGAGCTAAGGCCATAGACAGGTGGAGTCCTTATGAAGATGAGAGGGGATGGATGGGATCAAAGGCAGGAGTGGAGGGATTGACCTTTGATGGGTACAGGGATGCTTCATCCATTGTAACAGGAGGGAGGGCAGAGGATATGGCTGTAGGTGTAGATGATTAGTGTAGGTTGGTTGTAGGTTTAGAGATGGGTGGTAGGAAGACGGGTGAGAGAGTTTCATCTGCTGTTTTCTAAATAAACATAAAGTGAAGTCATCAACTGGAGGGATGGAAGGGAAGGGGCATGTGACAGGAGTGGTTGGAGAGGTTAGATGTATGATAAAATACTTAGTTTCTCTGAAGCTGTTTTTCTCATCTGTGAGGTGTAATAATAATATCTTTTTTTTTTTTTTTAAAGATGACTGGTAAGGGGGTCTTAACCCTTGACTTGGTGTTGTCAGCACCACACTCACCCAGTGAGCTAACCGGCCATCCTTACATGGGAACTGAGCCCGTGGCCTTGGTGTTATCAGCACCGCACTCTCCCGAGTGAGCCACAGGCCTGCCCCAGTATCTTCTAAACATGGTTACCATATAGCACCTAGAAAGATGCCCTGCAGCCTGTATGTTTTAGTTCACTTTTCTTTTGCCTCCCAGTTAAGACGTGCCTGTCCTGTATCAGTTTGCCTCAGTCTTCCCTTTTAGTTGATAGTGAGGTGATAATCTTGTCAGTTTGCTCTCTGGGTAATATGTTTTCTTCATTCAGCAAATATTGAGCTGGGGGACTAGAAGTACAGTAAGAGAGATTTATGCTGTCAGGGAGCTTACATTTCTCTCTGTTCTGTTTTAACTGCTAATACCTTGGCTCCTTTTAGAGGAAACAAAAAGTTATTGAGATCATCCGGTGTTTAATTGTTTTGATATTAACCTCATTATGTACAAAAATAAAGCGAGGTATAAGCTCCATATTCTTTTAGTTTATATACTTGTAAAACTAGCAATCCCAATTAATTTGCAAATAAACTACGAATATGCTTTCTGTTAAATACAGAGTTACAAAACCAACAACATTAACCATACTAACATCGATTTCGTGTGATAGACAGTGTTGTTTTGTTGAACTAAATTACCAGAATTATGTTTAATAACAGAAGGGTATTATTTTGCTTCTTTTATGCTTTATTTGTGGACCTGATTCTTTTGATTTTGACCTTGATGGATTATCATTTAAATCAGTGTCATTTTTCCTGTTTTCAACAATGAGCTTGTTTTTAACTACAAATTCTCTTTTTGTTTGTTTGTTTTTGGCAGCTGGCTGGTATGGGGATGAATCCGTTTTTGATTGTTCGATTAATTTATTGATGCCCCCATATAATTCTGAAAATTAAAAAAATCCTGATTAGCGATGGCTGGCAGTGTGAATATGCTGCTGACTACTTGTGATAGGCTTTGAGCATAGCGTGCCTAGCACCATGAGACTTAGTTCCCCCTCCACCTTTCTCTAAAGAATGTGGCCTCTGAAGTCAGATTGCTTGGGTTCCAATTTCGGCTCCACAATTATTATTGGGTAGGTCATTGTCTCAAACCCTTAACCTCTTCATCTGTAAAACAGGACAATAATAGCACCTACTTATGAGGGTTGCTGTGAGGATAACCCATGTAAAGCACTTTGTATATTTCCTGGCACATAGTAATGTTCAAATAGTATTAACCATTGACGTCGTTGTTACTAACTTTTTATTTTTTATTTTTATTTTTTCATAAAAGATGACCGGTAAGGGGATCTTAACCCTTGACTTGGTGTTGTCAGCACCACGCTCAGCTAGTGAGCAAACCGGCCATCCCTATATGGGATCCAAACCCGTGGCCTTGGTGTTATCAGCACCGCACTCTCCCGAGTGAGCCACGGGCCGGCCCCAGTTACTAACTTTTTATTATGCATAAGCTATGTCCATGTAGCCTGATGGCATTTGACTTTCACTTAATGTCATCAAAAAGACAAAGGCAAATTCCAGCATGGAAGTGTATGGTAGTACTAGTTTATAAGTTAGTCATCCGATCTTCCATGTTATTTATTTTGTATTGGCATCCAACTGAAATCATTAAACATTTCTTGTGGGACTCACAGTGTGAGGCTTATTATCTCAGTCTGTAGTAAAACGCAATTCTTTCCTGAGAGTTTCTTAATTAATAAATAGCTTTAACATTAGAAGTTTTTTTTTTTTTTTTAAAGATGACCGGTAAGGGGATCTCAACCCTTGGCTTGGTGTTGTCAACACTGCGCTCAGCCAGTGAGCCAACCGGCCATCCCTATATGGGATCTGAACCCGTGTCCTTGGTGTTATCAGCACCGCACTCTACCAAGTGAGCCATGGGCCGGCCTACATTAGAAGTTTTAAGAACTAGACAAGTTTGTGGAGAAATATTTGGGCGGCAAGTGAGTCTTTCATCCACTTAGAGATTGTACTACCCTGCAGCTGCCTGGCCTTCAAATATAGATTGGGTCTGTCCTTCCAGAAACTGTAGAAAGCATTCTACTGTTTGTGTCTGTGTGTCTGTGTGTGTATGCATGGGCTCATGCTTTTGTACATTGTCACTTCTAGAATCTCTGTGGAAGTGTGTCCAGCTAATAGTTTTCTGAGAAGAGGGTATGATGATCTGGGGCAAATAAATCTTCGTAGTTTAAATGTACTCAAGAGCCTGGTGAGCCATTTTGTAGTAATATCTTCATTTGTAAAAATTCACTAGAACATACATGGATAATCTCGGCAGTCTAAATTTTCTTTCTTTGCCCTTATTGGATGCTGGTCTTTGGTTTTTATGACCTTTGGATACCCTAATTAGTTTTGTTTTCAACATACTTGGGACTGTTTTCTTACTCAAGTCTCCATTCTTGTTTTAATTCCTTTTCTCATTTGCAGCTGAATTTGTGATCAGTCTTGCTGAGAAAAATACAACTTTTGATACTTTCAAGACTTCTCTGGTCAAAAATGGTGCAGAATTTACGGTATGTATATCTAGAAACCCCTGTTTTATTTTAATGTCACTATTGAATTTAAATTTTGGTAGGATTTAATATAGGATTTTTATACAGGAAGGAGACAGTTTGTACATACTAATCAAATAAACCATTAAGTGTGTAATGTTTTCATGCCATTAAGCAGTAGTGATGTAACTGCATTTCCTGTAACATCTTTCTAGGAAAACGGGGCAGGATTTCTACCATTATTTAAATCTTTGTGGGTGTTTACATTCTTATTCTATGAATCAGAAAGTCAGAAACAAGAGTCTAGGTTTTGGAGGTAGTTCTTTTTTTTTTTAAAGATGACCGGTAAGGGGATCTCAACCCTTGGCTTGGTGTTGTCAGCACCACGCTCAGCCAGTGAGCAAACCGGCCATCCCTATATAGGATCCGAACCCGTGGCCTTGGTGTTATCAGCACCGCACTCTACCGAGTGAGCCACAGGCCGGCCCTATTGGAGGTAGTTCTAAAGCATGGGAAATAAAATGGTTGCAGGGAGCTAAATAACTTTTTCCCCCAAAGAGTCTTGAATATCAGCTTTCTCTGAAGCTACTATACTAGGTTCATGCTACATCTGGTTGACACTCTATGCCTCATTTGTTCCAATTAGCGAAATTCAGGTGCATAAGCACCCATCCCTTAAGGACGTTTTTTGCCTTTTCCCTTTTCTGAATGTATTTAACCACTGTTCTAAGGGCTAACAATTTTTGTTCTATGTTTCTTTTCAAAGGATTCTCTTATTAGTAACTTGTTGCGTCTCATACAAACCATGCGGCCTCCAGCAAAGCCTTCTACTAGCAAAGGTGAGCAGAGCTTCCAGCTGAGCTTAGCCTCCAGCATGGTTTGGATTATGAGCATCCTGTACATTGCATTTGTTTTCCTCTCAGCAGCTGCTGGGCAAGTAAATGTCCTAGTAAAGTTTTTCAAATGACTTAAGACAAAATTAAAATTATAAGACATAATTGAATTAGTCCTTATGCACCACTTTCCCTGCTTCATTCCCAGGTAGTTTGTTGAGGGTTTTGTAGTCAATGTTTTTAGAAAATTTAATTACTTTTATAGTAATGTGTATGATTAATATGTAGCAAAATGCCATGTACTGTTTCAGTTGGATGCAAATCTGATGTTGAAATTATTTTGTGAATCATTAAAAATATTAAATACATCTTTTTTTCTTTTAATCCCTTCATGCTCTTTAATAAAACAAGATCCAGTTGTTAAACCCAAAACTGAAAAAGAAAAACTGAAGGAACTCTTCCCAGTCCTTTGTCAACCAGACAACCCTTCTGTTCGGGTACTGATACCATTTTGAGAATGTCTGCTATAACTGTGTGTCCCCTGCACCCCAGCCTCTTTTCTTTGTCTCAGTAATTTTATTATTTTAAGTTTGCCTTCATCGTAATATGTTTTTCAAAGTGAAAGTGTTTGATCAGTCACTGAGCATGTAGTATGTATAGAATAGTCTTAAAGGGTTTAGAGAATAATATTCAAGGGAAATGAGATTGGGAATTGCAGGAAGGAGTGATTAGGAATATGAAATAGGCATGAAATAAGTTAAGGTTCTGGAACAGATGCTCCATGTGTGAAATTAGAATTTTTTGCTCCATTACATGTTAGAAGGTCCAATTTTTGAAATGTTTTGATTTTTAAATTTCATTTTAACAAATATTTATCCAGTACTTACTGTATGCCAAGCACTGTTCTAAGTACCAGGGGTGCTACAGTAAACAAAACAGACAAGAGTTTCTACCTTCTTGGAGACTACATCCTAAAGCCAGAGTGGGGAGCAGGAAATAAACATGTAAACAGTCTAGTAGGGAGGAGACAGGCAATAAATAAATAAGTAAATGTATAACATAGTGGGATAATGATGAGGGCTATGCAAAAAAATAAAGCTGGGGGAAGGGAGTATAGGGGAGAGTTGCTTTTTAAAAATGTTACCATCTATTTTCTAGTAGTGATCATCACTTGCATGCTTTCATGGGAGGGATGATTAGTGTCTAACTGCCTTCCGTAGGATTATGTTAAGGACAAAGAAGATTTGCCAAATGTAGAAATGATCCCCAAGAGCCTTTGCCCATTCTTTCTGCCTCTATCTCCAATTATGTCAGAAATCTGTCTTTTCTGCTTTCTTCACATAAGTGGTTAGTGCTGTAGGGACTATCAGATTTGTAGATGAACCTGAAGCATACAAAGATTCTTGAGTGGTTTTTTCCTTTCTCCTCATAACTTTGCTGACCTCTTCCCCCATAGACCATGCTGGACGAGGATGATGTGAAAGTTGCTGTGGATGTCCTGAAAGAACTGGAAGCTTTAATGCCCAGCGCAGCAGGCCAGGAGAAGCAAAGAGACACTGAGCACCGGTTTGTCCTTAGTGTCCTATCCTTTGGAAGTTTAGGATACTGTTATAGCTGAATTTTGTGGACCAGCCAAGCAAAATTTGGGGAGAGTTTACAGAATCTGGACTGACCATGTACCATATTCTCGGATCTATTTTTGTTGCTTCCTGCTAAGAGGATGCAGCAAATGCTAAGATGTTTAGAAGGTAGAAATTGGGCTGTTATAGCTGAATTTTGTGGACCAGCCAAGCAAAATTTGGGGAGAGTTTACAGAATCTGGGCTGACCATGTACCATATTCTCGGATCTATTTTTGTTGCTTCCTGCTAAGAGGATGCAGCAAATGCTAAGATGTTTAGAAGGTAGAAATTGGAGTTAAAAGAAGCAGAATATGTTTGTGACCTGATCCTTTATTGGCCTGCAGAGGTGTCATAGTTTTTGAAACTCTAATTCATTTGAACACTTAGTAGGCACCTATCATGTGCATGGCACTACGCTGGGTACTTGGGGATGCAAGGATGAAATTGGGCTGGTTTCTTTCTGAAACAGGTACTTGTTGGTTTGTTAGGGATAGGACAAAGAAGAAGAAGCGGAGTCGGAGCCGAGATCGAGACAGAGATAGAGAACGAGATCGAGACCGAGATAGAGACCACAAGCGGAGACACCGATCCCGCTCTCGATCACATTCCAGGACCCAGGAAAGGAGTAAAGGGAAGTCTAGATATTGGTCCAGGAGCAGGAGTCAGAGTCCTCCCAAAGACCGGAAGGACCGGGACAAATATGGAGAAAGGAATCTGGACAGATGGCGGGATAAGCATGTGGATCGCCCTCCCCCTGAAGAGCCTGCCATCGGGGACATTTACAATGGCAAAGTTACCAGCATCATGCAGTTTGGATGTTTTGTACAGCTGGAGGGACTAAGGTAATGGCTGGCGCTCTTTCACACCAGTGAAGGGCAGAATTTCTTTTAGCACTGGGGGTATTCACATTCTAAAAAGTTATTATGATTAATGACACTTTAATCAGATCAGCTCTACCAGGTTCTTAGAAGCTGACCTTTTTTTTTTTTGAAATGTTACAGAGCCATTTTTTCCTTCTTCTGCCTTGAGTTTAAGTCCATTTTCTCTTGTTTAGTTCCAACAAGGGTAGAAATTTGTTGGAGAAAGGTAGTTTTAGGCATGTTCCAGATGTGTCTGACTCTCCCTCAGAAAGCGGTGGGAAGGCCTGGTACACATCTCTGAGCTCCGGCGAGAAGGCCGTGTGGCCAATGTGGCTGATGTGGTGAGCAAAGGCCAGAGGGTCAAGGTCAAAGTGCTGTCCTTCACTGGGACCAAGACCAGCCTGAGCATGAAGGTAGGTGAGATGTCTGGTCTGTTTCCACATCTGATGGCAAGGGAACATAAGAGGACAGCAGGTGAGCTAGTGCCCTTGTTCTTATGCCTTAGGATGTGGATCAAGAGACTGGAGAAGATCTAAACCCAAATCGACGAAGAAATCTTGTTGGGGAGACCAACGAGGAGACCTCAATGCGGAATCCGGACAGACCCACTCACCTCTCCCTTGTCAGTGCCCCTGAAGTAGAGGATGACTCGCTGGAGCGCAAGCGCCTCACCCGCATCTCTGACCCAGAGAAGTGGGAGATCAAGCAGGTGGGGCTCTTAGCTTTCATGGCCACACCTTCATTCAGCACGTAGCATGGTGGGTAGGAGTGGAGCACGACAGCCTGGGTGGCTTCTGGCCACTTAGTAGCTTTGTGATCCTGAGCCGAGTTACTCTAGCTCTTTGTGCCTCAGTGCTTTCATCTGTAAAACAGGGCCAATGGTGGTGGTGTGAGGAGTAAAGGAATTAATAGAGTTGAAACTCTTAGGTTACTGCCCGGCATATGGTGATTGCTACGTAAGTGTTCATTATTGTTTTTATCATTCTTCAGTAAATTTTAGAATCACAGTGTGTCAAGCACCATGCAGATGCTAGGGCTACAAAAACAAATATATCATGGTTCCTATCTGTATTAGTCAGTTTTCAGTTGCTTCTAATAGAATACCTGAAACCGGGTAATTTATACGACCACAGAATTTATTTCTTAGAGTTTTAGAGGCTGAGAAATCCAAGATTGAGGGGTGCATCTGGTGAGGGTCTTCTTCTCTGTGGAGACTCTACGAGTCCTGTGATGACTCAGGGTATCATGAGGCATGAGGCTGAGCAAGTGCTTGCTCTCCTTGTAAAGCCACCAGTCCACTCCCATAATAATTCATTAATTGATTGACCCATTAATGGATTAATCCATTCATGAGGGCAGGGCCCTCACAATACAGTCACCTCCTAAAGGTCCCACCTCACAACACTGCCACATTGGGGATCAAGCTTTCTTTCTTTTTTTTTTTTTTTTTTAAAGATGACCGGTAAGGGAATCTTAACCCTTGACTTGGTGTCATCAGCACCACGCTCAGCCAGTGAGCGAACCGGCCATCCCTATGTGGGATCCGAACCCGGGGCCTTGGTGTTATCAGCACCGCACTCTCCCGAGTGAGCCACGGGCCGGCCCGGGGATCAAGCTTTCACATGAGCCTTTGAGGGGACAAACATTCAAGACATAGCACTACCCTTGAGGAACTCAAAGTCCAGTGGAGGAGGTAGAGCTAAACAAATAATTGTGGAGGGTTACATATTACATAATAAGGAATGTACAGAGAGCTATAGAAACAAGGAAAGGAGCAGGTAGTTACATGGTACCAGGTACCTTCCTGGGGATGACACCTTAGAGCACATGCTTTACAGCACCATGTTGTAAAGCCCCTAGGGATGGGATATATGACATTTGAGGTCCTGACGTCCTGGGTCAGAGGAGGAAAGAATCCTTGGTTTCCTACATGAAACCTCTGTAATTAACTGTCCTGGAAAAGAAGAGTTTCGATCCTAGCAGGTTGCAAATGCTGCTTTCTATTCTTTGGCTAGATGATTGCTGCCAATGTCCTTTCCAAAGAAGAGTTTCCAGACTTTGATGAAGAGACCGGCATTCTCCCTAAGGTGGATGATGAAGAAGGTAACTAGCCATTTGGATTGAGCAGGATAATGGATTGGGAGAATAATTGTCAAGTTGAGCCATCGGACTGGGGTGGTTTGTTTGTAGTTTAACCCAGTGGCTGTTAATCATTTGTTCTTTGAGTCTCACCAGTCATCTCTCAAAGAACAAGGGTCTTTCCATGATGGAAGCAAAAAGTTTATTTCTTTTTTGTTTGTTTGTTTGTTTTGTTTTTTAATAAAAAGATGACCGGTAAGGGGATCTTAACCCTTGACTTGGTGTTGTCAGCACCACGCTCTCCCGAGTGAGCCACAGGCC